AGATTCCATCCCACTTGAACCTTGATTGAGTCTTGTGAGAAATCCAGGCCAACACCCTGATTGCATCTGGGACAGACCCTGAAGTGGAGGACCTAAGAGAAACCGAGATAATAAATATGTGTTGTTTCAGGCCACTAAGTTTTGGGATGCAGTTGATCTTCATTGTTCACGAATTCCATACTTGCAAATTTGCCTGCTTACTAAAATTTATTTGTATCCCCAAAATAAACACTCAGCACTTTCGCACTTACAGATGGGCAGAGCAGCAAAAAATTTGAGTTGCCTGAGATGCACACTCCCAGCTGCGGTCGAGCAAGGCAAGGCTCTGCCTTCTTGTTTCAGCTTTCATGAACAAACGTCATTTTCACAGTCTATTTAGTTCCTTTTTTCCCCACATTTTTGTGCCTTTTTTTTTTTTTTGATGATTTCACCATTCAAAATGGCCCCCAAACATAGTGATGAAATGCTGCCTGGCGTTCCTAAATGCAAGAAGGCTGTGATGGGCCTTACGGAGAAAATACGTGTGTTAGAGAAGCTTCATTCAGACTTGAGTTATATTCAGGCTGTTGGCTGTGAATTCAACGTTAACGAATCAACAATATATATTAAATAAGAAATCTTTAAACAGAAACAAGCATAAAACAAGCCTATGTGTTCATTGGTTCACGAAAATGTCGTGGCCAGAGGCTCCCAGAAACCTAACCCTGTGTTTCTCCCAGGATCCATGGATCAGCGTTCACTAATTCAGTGTTCTCAGTAACTTTAGAGGACATAACTAGTGCGGATAATGAGAATCGACTGTAATTTGTTGATGTAGTAACAGATACCGAACACAGGGGGAAAACGGTAATTCAGCCCCCCAATCTGAGGGGGAGGAGTTTCACAAGGATGGCATGATCAGGTGTCAAGGGCTGTGGGTCCCTCGCCAGGGGTAAGGCTAGAGAGACAATGGATAGCAGTTATGAGTGTCTGCCATCTAAATATCATTAAAATAGTTAGATATCGAAGAGGAAACAATTTTCCCTGGTTAAAGAGAGTTAATTTGGATGAATGGGAATGAAACTATCTAGGAAAATCAGCCTCATAAGGCAGTCTCCTTGCTTTCTGAAGCCCATAGGCCGGCCGTGGTGGCTCACGTCAGTAATCCTATCACTTTGGGAGGCCGAGGCGGGAGGATGACTTGAGGCCAGGAGTTCAAGACCAGCCTGGGCAACATAGTGAGACCCCCCCATCTCTACAAAAACTTAAAAAATTAGCCAGATGTGGTGGCGTGTACCCGTAGTCTTAGCTACTCAGGAGGCCGAGGCAGGAGGATTGCTTGAACTTGTGAGTTGGAGGCTGCAGTGACCTGTGATTATGCCACTGCACTCCAGCCTGGGTAGCACAGTGAGACCCTGTTTTTAAATAAATAAATAAATATTAATACATGAAATAAAGCCCACAGCTGTGTGCAGATTGATGCGTCAAAAGGCATCAGCTTAACTGAAAGCTCCATGACTGTACAGGATGATGCAACCCAGGGCGGGCTCCTGGCAAGTGGCAGTGCACTGACGTGGCCAACGCAGGGACATGGCACATGTCCAAGGGAAGCTGTGGAGGGCAACAGCCCCCTGGGGACCCAACGCGCCCTAACACAGCCTTTCTGTGATCTGTGACTAAAAGTCCCGGCTGAACGTTTACGTTCTCTTCATTTTATTTATTTTTAACTTCAGCCTACAAAAGGCCCCTTATGATTTTGATTTTTAATTAGGCTCCCAACTTTACCCCTGATCCCCACACCCTATGCTCACTCCAATGAGTGTGCTGAGTCCTATATATATGAAGGGATTTTGTATAATATGTAGCTTTGTTTTGTGTGTGTACGTTTGAAAGTTTTATAAACAGTGCTATGCTGTAAACATTGAGTTCATTCTTACTTTTTCCACTCTACTCTATGACTTAAGTGTTGCTCCGTGAACATGTAGATTTCTTCTGACAACTGTGTATACACGATAGAGTGCAGTCACCACATTTTACCCATCCTTTCCCCTAGTGCTGGACACCTAGCCTCCAATTCCTGCCTCCATAGTTAGGTACGGAATGAATCTAACAGTATACCTTGTAGTAGCACGTGCCTTGTCTGCCTGCAATTACTTCCAGCCTTCTCTTCTGTGTTCCTTCCTTGGGTAGAGGACAGAATTCACCAGAACTCATTCCTAGATCATGAGAACATGTAATGTCTCACTTTGTGTAGAGCAACTTCTTATTTGGTTAGTCTCTAGTCTAACAACATTCTTAGAGGCAGGGGTACACATTTGCTTATTCCGTTAAAAAAAATAGCACAGTGGTTATTTCCAACTCTGGTTTTGCCTGGAGGTTGTAAAAGTGGAAAAAAAAAAAACTAAAAATAAAATGTCCTTTAATACATTTTAATTTAAAAATAAATATATGCCATAAAAAGGCAAGTGAAAGAGGAAGTCGGCAAAATCAAATAACCATGAAACATGGAGACATTTCCTAAGTGAGAAATTGCTCATCCAAAGAGTACACAACACATTATGAAAGCTTAGTGCATTGCCCTTCGAGGCATGCAAGACAAAAGAGAATAAAGTTTGGGCGACCAGGAAAGCCAAAGCATATACAGTCCTCCGTGCCAAGTGCCACGCTAGATTGATGTTCTGAGAAAACGGCTGCAAAGTGAAGCCAGAGAAAGATTCTTGCTGACTCAAAGAAAGAAGCCCATAGCATGTGGAATCAATTTTTATTTCTGAATTATACAGAGAGGCTATATAGATATATTATGTCATTACATATTTTTATATTATTAATTAATCCACATTATTTAGGGAGAATTTATTTACCAAAACAAAATCTAATAGATACTTTCTTCTGAGCAATCAAATACATGATAGAAAAACCTTTAAATATATAAAAGATTAATTTGTGCACATCTAAATGTTTCTAAGGGAGCAAACTACTGAGGCATTGTGATAAGACGAGAGTTGCAAACATAGTACCACAACTGAATACTCAAAACGGTATCTTAAAAACAAAGGCTAGGAGTAGTGACTTCCTCACATATCTCAGGATATGTCTTAGAGGGTAACCCCACAGAACATTGTATGGCTTCAACAGGAACTTCAGGGTTTTCTTCCACACCTAGCATTGCCCTCAAAGAAATTTTCTCCCTCCTTGACAGTAACTTCTGTGCAGATTTTTGTTCTTTCTCTTAATCAAGGAGCTAGGCAAAGAGCAATTGCCACATTGAGAAAACAATGCGTATGCCCCAATGACCCCTTGGTTCCCTTCACTACAAATCTACAAGAAAATTGCAAAGCAGTTCCCAGAAGTCAGAACCAAAGCAAGAATGCTCAGAATGCGAGGCCTAGATAGCTGAATGATGTGAATGTTTACATAGGTCTACCTATCTGCTTAGGGATTATTTTTTCAGGATTTGGCTATGATTCCATTTACTTGGATTGAATTTACAGGATTTGGCTATGATTCCATTTACTTGGATTGAATTTACAGGATTTGGCTATGATTCCATTTACTTGGATTGAATTTACGTGGTAGCTTTTTTTCTAGCACATGCAATTAAATTAATTTATCTTTTTAAGATAATAAAATAGCAGATGCCTAAATATCAGAGTGGGTATGCAGACCATAGAACAGCCTGAACAAAATCATCGATTGGGCAAGATGCTCGTAATTTCTGTGTAGGAGGATGAAGCTTCAAACAGCATTCTACCTGAGTGGTCTTCCATAAATGGGCTGGACAAGTTCAGAAAAAAAGAATATGAATGGTAAGATTGTTGCTGTGTCTGGTTGGCTGTAACAAGAGCCCTCTACAAACAGACCAATGCCCTCAGGTTTGTACCACCGAACTGAACATTGGATCTTCATTACTTCCTGTGACTAGAGTGATCACAGAATTCATTTTCCAAAATAGGACACTACTGAGCGAGAGTGGTAAATATGTATACACACCAGAATATTGGGTCACTGTATTTATGTCAACACTGTGTTCTGGGAGAGGCATAATTTGGGCTTCCAAAAGTGGAGGCGGGCTGTGAGAGAGGGTGGGCTCTAGGTTTTTTTTATCAGATAAGCCAGATGTTATGAAGAAGGAGATCCAATAGCACACACAGTTAGACAAGATACTAAGTTGAAAAAACCAAGAGGGGAAAATGGATAACCATGGAGGCTTAAGGAGGAAAGAGAGCTGACCTGAGTGTACGTGTGGAAGGAGGTGGGGAGACATGAAGCAAATGAGGTCAGAGAAACTCAACCACCTGTTCTACTTCAAAGCAGTTCAAGGCTGCTTGTACCCAGGGCTCAAGGTGTCCTAGACAGCTCTTCCGGATGAAGTTACCACCGTGAGACGATGGTGACCCTCTCCACTTCACTTGCATTTCTGCCAGTTTATTTGTAATAGGAGACCCTGGAGACTAAGAAACATTCTCAAAGTGAAGCGAAGACTTCAGCAACTCCTGTAAATAGTTACAGAGGAGCTTCTAAGAAGCCTTACCTTGGGTCTTGCAACACAACCTGAGCCGTGCTTTCACGGCGAGGACGCCTTGTCTTTTTCAGCGGCCATGTAGTATATTTGACCACTTCTGGATGTCAAAAATTTCTTTCTGACAAAAATCAGTTTTTTTGCAGCCTTATCTGTCCATTCTGTTAGAGAAACTATCTACATACAAATGGGAGATGGAGTGAGAAAGGATGCATTTACTAGAGCAGGGGTCAGCAAACTTTTTTGTAGAGATAGTAAATGTTTTAGCCTTCGTGGGACATATGGTCTCTTGTGATCACTCAACTCTACTGTTATAGTGTGAAAGTAGCCCTAAATAGTAGGAAAACAAATTTGTGTGGCCGTGTTTCAATAACACTTTATTTATGGATACTAAAATTTGAATAATTTTCATGTGCCATGAAATATTCAAAAATTTTTTTTCCAACCAAAAATGTAAAAACCATTTTCAGCTTACGGTGGTGAGCTAGATTTGGCTGTAGTTTGCCAGCCCCTCCACTAGAGATCTACAGATCTGAAATCATGTTGGCATTGTTAAAGGGCATATGAAAATATCTTGTAAGTGATAGTACAAACTTGAATTTATTTTTAAGCCTATAATCTGATTAGAGTGTTTAAAACAGATCTCCTTTTATAATACATATGATAGAGAAATTCGGAGAACTGAATGTTACCAAATAATTTTTGAGTAGGCCACCTTACACTGAGTTCTTGGCACTTAAAATGTAACATCTTGAGCAAAGTTTATGGCCTGAAAGGGAGACAGATACCAAACATGCGACACTGATCCTTAGGTTTTTGCAATGTGGAGGTCATCAACATTCATTGGAGAAATGATGATTTTTTTTAAAAAAGACCAATTCACATAAAACATGATGCCCAACTTGATAACTAAAATAAAATTGATGTGAGTTCAAAAGCCTGGCTTCCCTTTGAGAGATTAAAAGAGATTCACATGAGCAAGAACAAAGTGAGTACTTAGAGGATGATGGTTTCACACTGGTGTCTGGTTTGTGGCTGCCCTAAGCAGGCTTAGGATTTTTAAGTAGAGTTACATGGCGGCAACTTTCCCGGGGAGAGTTGAGCCCTGTGTACTTTAAACCTAAGACAATTACCAAGGAGAAATCCAGCTAATCTATGGAAACGTATCCACTCACACCAAACATGGATTAAAGGTAGCTTACTGGTAAACACTGGTCTAAGGGATGAAATACCACTGCACCAAGTGTTAGTGAAATATTGAAGTGGAACGTCCTACTTTCTTGCTAAGGTTCAACTAAAGTCTTTGAGGCACATAATTGGCAAAATAGGGAAGGACACACAATTTCATAAAACATGTTAAAAGTAAACAAATTCACTTCCTATTTTACCCCTTAGAAATTTAGAATGGCACCAGGTAGTGCAAAGTGGAAAAAGGTAACATCAGCCCTGTCTCTTCCAGGTAGATATTTTTCAACAGACCCACGAAGCAGAAAGGCATCCTTCTCTTCCAGCATGGCCAACTAGGGCTTTTCTTTCAGCTTCAAGTCAATACTATGAAGAAAAGAAAGAAAAAAAAAAAAAAGAGAGAGAGAAACATGAGAAACTAAATGAGAAACATTTTTAATGAGTTGGGTGGCATGTGTTTGCTTTTTTCCTCAAAGGACTTACTGAAAATAAATCATGCAAGTTTCTTATGCTAGAAAAATCTGCTAAAACACAATCTTCCCCTAGTTGCCAAGCTTTTCTGTAAAATATGGAATCGTTTATTTATACAAAATTGTTTCTGGAAGCATTTTACACCTTTTCAAAACGATCCAGGGAAACAAGACTCATGTTAAGGCTCATTCTTAAAATCAATTAAGATAAGGAACATTATTGCATTTTGGAAATAAAAGATCTGTCTGTTTTTACTAAATGGCCTTTCCTTGTGAAGCAAATAAATGACCTGCCTGAAATAAGTAGTATCTGACAAGTGCTAAATAGTAAGAAATGGTAAACAATAAAACAGAAAAAAAAACCCCACAAAAACCATTTTCTAGGAGCCGAAGGATTTGACTAAAATGGGTCAGCCTAACGTAATAAGGTGGATCTTTACAACTGAAAAAAATCTAGTTTTTAAGAATGTCTAGTGGGTTTCCAAATACCTAGGGAATAAGTAGAACTCCCTTGAATCACGTGTTGGTGAGCACAGCATGTGTTCCTAGCACATCCACTCGAGAAGAGAACTAAACGCCAGCGAACAGTCAGAGGAAGGATTTCAGTCATGAGAACAGAGAAATGGTTTGTTTGAAAAGGGTAATTTGGGAAGTATCTGCAGATTTTGCTTATCTCTGCCCCTCTGAGCCATAAACCTGTATGTTGCAAAGGTTATTGTGCTTTACTTGTGGAATTTGCAGCAGCTGAGCTCCTTCTGGTAGCTTTGCAAATAAAGCCATAGATAACCTACGCTGCCGCCCATCCAGTTTATAGTAATAAAGTATTTTTCTTTTAAAATATCCTTAGCAATTCCAGCACTTACTAGCTGTGGGGACTTGGCCAAATCACCTATCTATCTTCTCTATGTTTCCATTTCTGTATCAGTAAAATGGAACAATCAAACCTCTTTTACAGCTTGCTAAAAATTTAGTCTAAAGGTTTTTAATTGTACATAGCCAACATACTGTAATGTCTCTTATTATTAGTAGTAGTATCTCAGTATTTTTTTGAAATGAGAAAATATCTCTTTGCAAATTATTCTATTTGCAATAATCTTGTCTTCTTTGGGAGGCCAACTCAACATGAATATGAATCTCTTTTTTATGCCGTCAAGCATCTGATTTGTTTTCTTACCTGCAGAATTTTACTTTAGAGGTGTTCTCTTTTTATCCACTGTGACCTCTAGATCTTTTTCTTACATACCTTTACAAGATGGGTCATTTTTTAATCTTGTTTTTGCTCCTAAATTGTACTTCCTGGCTGCAGTTATTCCCAGAAGTCTGCAGTAAGTTTGATTTGGTGATTGGAATTTTATTCTTGCTCTCACGGTGTTGGCTCAGTTTCTCTCATAAACCAAGAGAATGTTTACTAAACTAAAATTTGTGGCACATTATCTAAAAACCATGAACAAGGGGCAGAATATTTGAAATCATCTTGTGAAGTTTAAAATGCATGGTCACTTTGTTGCACCATCTGGGCTCCTGATAAAAATCTGAACCAACACTTAGGCCAAGATGCCCATCACAAAACACTTTATTTTTCATACTGACTTTTTTGGGTAAACTATCTAGAGTTTAATTCATCCCTTCAGCTTTTGGTAACAAAAACGCTGAAAGACTGAGACCTAGTTACCCAGTTTATAGAATAAACAAGAGATAGTCAAAAGTGAATTATTTTCTTATAAGTAAATACAGGAAACCATTCAGAAGATTAATTTTTGAGACAGCAGTTATCTTGTGGAGTTAATGAAGCTCCTAACAATACTGCTAATTTAAATTTCCCCAAATAGGACCATGTTTGATTATTATGCTTTTAAAAATACATGTAAAAGTATAAAAAAGGCATGTTGTAAGTTTTAATATTTGAATAAATAAATAAAATCCAAACCTAAAAGTGAAGGAGATAAGCATCCAGGGCTACTTTTAAAAATAGTATCCTTTTTGAAATAAAAAATTTATCTTTCATCAGAATTGAATATCCTTCATCTTTGGGCAGATGAGCTTAGTTTTCCATAGCTAGCGTTCCAGTGAGACAGAGTAACCTTCTGATAATTAACAATAGGCCATTTCACTCCTAACGTGTATTAGATGAGGTCCCTTACAAAGTGTATGACAATATTGCTTAACGATGAATATGAGCCTTTGCATTTTGCATTTTATGTAGGAAGAGGGTGGAGCTGAGCATAACCTTCCCTTCTCTCTCTGAGCACAACAAGAGGTCACCACGGTATCAGCACACATTTCAGTTTATTCTTGGCCTAACTAAGCCCCTTGCAAGAATCTTTGCTTATTTTGCAGTTTATCCATTCAACACCAGCCACAGAAGGTGTAAAATGCTTCCACACAGAATCCTTCCCTGTCCCTGATGGCTTGTAGCAGACAGAAGCCAGAGAGAGGTAAATGAAGCCTCTCATTCTAGTACTAAAGAAAGCCAGAAATCCGGGGCTGGAAGTCAGCCAAAAAAATTCTTGGCTACTCCTGCCCCTCATCCTGGATCTCATTCTCCACACCTTGACCACACGCGTGGTAAGGGCTTAGGAAAGAGAGGACTGAAGGAAGGGAAGCCTGGAGAAGAACATGTTCTTCTGAGAAGTAGGAAGTTACATTCACAGTTTGCAGCATTCCTCCTTCCTCCATGCCCAGCCCTGGAATGAACCCAAACAGGAAGCAATGTTTGCCCTCTTCCCAAAGAAAACAGCCCTACATACGAATGAGGAGCAGAACATACAAGGCAGGCAAAGGAGTGGGTAAGCCCCAAGATGTAGCAGCGCCCAGCCAGCAAGTAATTCGGCTTCCAGATGGGCCCTTCATGCTACCTGGTAACCATGGGCATGGCTAGCTGCTCAGGGGGCTCTGTTTTGCTGAGGGAAGAAATATTTGAAAAAAGTACTATGACAGATTGGGGGACTGGGATATTTTTGCTTTGTACAATTTCATGTGGCTATTTGCTTGAATTGATTGCTGTCTTGATCTCAAAGAGATGCAACTAGAGTGACCTTCAGAAAAACAACTGTGTGATTTCAAAGTTCCCTCTACAGTCTTCAGTCTTTGTACACTTTTCAGTTGGGACTTTCTCTGGAGTTTTTGTGCCTAAACTTCCTTTAAGTTTTAGGGTCAACATGGCAACTGCAGAGTTATTGCACCCTGATTTTCCAACTTCTCTTTGGATCTCAAGGAAAAGGAGCTTCCTTTGTCACAAAAGGTGACAACAGAGACACATTTAAATTTGATCTTTGCCTCTCCTCTCTAGTCTTAGGAATGAGGACAATGTTAAATTCTCCACCACTCAAACCAAATTAGGAACCCCTCGTTGGAAGGCCAAGTTCTCTCTAAAAGCACGTTGGTGACCAGTTTCGTCCCTGAAACTGATGTGGTCACTAATTAGCTCTGTTCTCTCAGCTGAGAGGTTTTGTCCTCAGGACAGAGGTGGCACACCCATTCCAGCATTAAAACTGCCTCTTTCTGGTTTAAAAACCCCTGGCCCCAGAACTGCACTCTCTAGGTTCAAATCCCAGATCTGGGCCATGCTCATAGCTGTAAAATGTTGGACTGCTCAGATCATCTCTCTATGCCCCTCTTTCCACATCCGTAAAATGTACCACATAAATTTATTTTGAAGATTAAACTCAGACACTGCGTGTGAAGCTTTTGACAGAGTCTGGCGCGTGGTGAGAACTCACTACGTGTCAGATTTCTATTTCTCATAAGGTGGGAATCATCCAACTAGGTCATTCCTACAGTCCCATCAGGACTCAAATGCCTCCCAAAACTTTGCAAAACAAGGACATTTTCTCCCCCATCCACCAAAATATTAAATCCAAATGAAAGTTCCAACTTTCACTAATTAAAATGGATGATGTAATTCGGAAAACAGAGTTGCATCCCTCTTGCCCACATGTTCTCACCTCTGTCCCTAATATTCATTTTCTCCTTATTTTTGGATTGGAAAAATGGAATATTACGTAAATACTTAGATTGTCCTTAAGAAATTTAAGTGGTGGTCGTGAATGGAACAATGCAAAGCTGGCAAATTTCTCTTACATGAAAGCTGAACATCTAAATGAGGTTTACCCAATCCTTAGTGTGATTTGTTTTCTTTCAGAACCCAGCCATACAACACTATAAGTAACCACATAGCCGTTATTGACGGTGAATTCTTACTCCTTCTCCATAGAAGACATTTCTGGATCATTGTAAAGGCAGCTAGTTCTGAGTGCAAGGAAAAAACAGGAAGTAGTCAACATTTTCTCTACTGTTACCACTTTGTAAGCACAACAGATTTGGGGCATTTGAAACTGTTTAATGTGGTCTATTGCTAATACTGAACCAGTCTACACCTGAACAGATGATTCTTTCCCATCGGTTGTGAAATACAGTGATTATCCATGATTTAGAAACAAAAAGGAAAGATTAAAAGCTTCAGACACCTCCAGTGAGCTCTGTCCTTCCTTATTTTCTCCTGATTTTTCAATCTATCTTATTCAGAGAACATATGTTATAAAACTTTATTTGTACCTCAAATAATAATAAAATACTTTATACACAAAGGAAAATTACTCTCAAATAGCCTAATTTTATTTAAACATGAACACCCTAATTAACTTTCAGTTTTCACAAGAATGAGGATTTTCCAAGACCCTAAAGAAAAAAATATCAGTATCAGCTCTCCTTACTGTTGCTGTTGCAGAAAAATAACAGGACACTTACCACTCCATATAGCTGAGCTGTGTTCAGGTAATACAAATGAATCCTAACATTAACCTAAACTGAATATGCCCAGTAAGAAAAATGTAGCCATATAAAATAATGCGATAAAAGTTTTTGGATGGCGTTTATGCTTTTTTGTATAATATTTGCTGTTTTTGATAGTCCACGCTGGTGTGATTCCTCTGTTAGCAAATTTTAAATTTGCTTTATAGTAATTCCTCATTAATACTTGGTACACTTCAATTCTTATTTTTTCCCCCTGGTAAATATTTTATTATTGGCAAACAAATACTACTTAAAGGGCTTCTATGATCCTTTTTAAATGCAAGCACTGCCTTTGTAATGTGAGTAATTTCATAAGCTAATTTATCTGTTTGCACATTAGAGGTATTTTGCTGAAAAAGGCAAAAGCCTCTCTCCCCAGGCAGGACCTTGGATTTTCCTTCCCTCACTCCCCACCCTCTTTCCTGGTGGCCTAGTATTTTTATGGAGACTGTTTGGCAACTCTAGAGAACAAGGACAGTCAAGTAAGTGTTGACAGTGTGCTAGAAAAACCTAGCAAAGCTGGAATGGAATAAAGACAGGGCAATCTTCCAAACCAAGCTTTTCTGCTTTTTAACTTCGAGTAATCCTCCAAAAGAAAACAGCAATTTGCAAACCATTTAATACTGTCACTCCGAAGGCAGCAGATGGATTCTACCTCATTTTCAAAATAAGAGTGGTTCTATGTATACGATTTATCTTTCAGAAGTATTTGCTTTCCTGTAGCAATCTAAGATTTTAGAGAAAAGATAAGGCTGGCTGAGCAAACCACCTTCTGAAGTCAACTGGAGGTGGGGTGCAGTTTGAGTGGCGGGGTGTGTGTATATGAGGGGAGAGGGAAAGTATTGGAAAACACTAGTGGGAATAAAGCAAAACGACAGACGCATTTTGTTCCCTGACCAAATATATATTTGCCTTTGGTTAGACCCAGCCTGAAGCTTTCTAATAGAGTCATATGGAAAGTCAGGCACGTCTGTCAATAAAAAGAATCTGGGTATATCTGGCTCCTAACCATAGATCTGCAGTGATCACGTTTTCTGAACCCAAAATCATCATATAGAGTCTGCCCTAGAATTTAGGGGCCATTTCAGAGGCTGAAGGGTAATTGAAAAGGTGTTTCTGGTCTAAGGTGGTAGGATTCTGAGGCATTCCAATCACCTGTGGGGTCAACAGAGTAGAATTCTTTCCCCTTACACATTTTCAAATGTGTGAATATATCTCAATTCCTCAACATGTGATGTCACCTACTTCATCAAAAGAAGAAGGACCAACTGGGGAGGATTCTTCAGGCCAATGGCTCACCCACTAAATCCAAAGCAAGAGCATAGACTCCAAAGACAAATCTAACTACTTTAATTCAGCCCTTCACTTTCAGGCAGTGATTCTCAAAGTGTGGTCCTGAGACCAGAGCATCAGTGTCACTGGGAACTTGTTAGAAATATAGATTGTATAGGCCCCACCCCAGACCTGCTGAATCAGAAACTCTGGGGTTGTGGGCCAGGATATTGTGTTTTAACAGGTGCTCCAGGTCACTTTGATACATGATAAAGTTTGAGAACCACTGTTCAACTGCAAGGAACTTACTCTTATGCTCATTCATTAATTTATGCAGCATAAATTTATTGAGCATCTACTATGTACTGGGCATGAGCATAGTGCCTTCTTTAGGTGGGAAATCAAGGCTTTTCAGGACCATCTGAGCTATTTAGATACCTTGGGGGAGGATGGGAGGGGGGAAAGAAGAGAACAAAATAATGGATGTGAGAGAAGAAAAGAAAGCTACACAAATAAACCAAAAATAATAATTGTTTTACTATGGTAGCTAAACAGGAAGAGTATAAATATAGAGAGGAAAAAAAATCTATTGAAGGAGGCAAGATTTCATGATACTATTAAGAATGACAATAAGACTTTATGGTGGGTTCGTATGCAAAATTATTGATGTTCCCTCCTCCTATCTGTTGTCTTGAAAATAGACAATTCTCTATTGTCATTTATGGAATTCTCTAATTCCATAAATATGTTATTATTCCTAAAAAAATAAATCTAAAGGAGAAACTCATTGACATTTCTCTCTGTGGGGAATCTCATTAAACAAAGTGAATAGGGTACAGATAAATGCTGAAGGGATAGATTACATCAATATTCAGGTCCTTGATTCCTAAGATCTTCCTTACTTCCACAACTTCTTATTTGTGACAGTTGAGTTAGAGACTAAGAAGATCTTGTTAGAATAAAAAATTGTTATTTTGACTTTTGTTATGCTAAACGGGTGTCAGTTATCTTGAAAGAAACTAGGAATAGTCTAACAGCAAATTATACTAATGCTAAGTCTTCTAAAGCAAAAAACTTTCCTTTAATTTTTAACACAGAAGATCCACACTGTAAACAAGTAATGCTGTAAGTTACCTGCAATAAAAATATACTGTAGGAAAAAATGTCTAAATGGAGTGTTTTAATGAGAAATTGGCATTTACAACTATGCAGAAAATGTTCACTATTTAAATCTGTTTATTCAGAATTTGTAGCTGTTTGGACATTATCCAGGCTTTCTGCTTTTGCAATATCTATTAAAAATGAGACCTGGTTATAAAAATTAACAGCATAAGCAACATTTAAAATGGAGAAGAAGCTCAATGTACTTAACACAGTAAACTTTCCGAATAGTACTTGTTTACATTTAACATGTAGTGTCAGAAAATTTCTTTTTAACTTGGAAACAAGAAAAGGAAATGACTGGATATTCTTTCAGAGCAGTTAGGCTGGCTTTCTATTGGTTGGGCTATTTTACAACTCTACAGGGGCAGATGTTAACTTACAGATTTTTGTCTAGCAAACATGCAAATAATTTCCATCCGGTGGAAAAGTCAACCCTGATATCACAGTTTATTGCATCTGACTTAAACAAACTCATCCAAACATTCTTTCATAAATTGCCTAAAGATATCTAGCCTCTCAAATGATCTTTGAACTGGTTTTAACACCTTACTGGTTCCCTCATTAAAAGTAGTTGAATAAAATCATTAGTATATGTTCACTGTAGATTTGTATGGGAGTTATAATTTTGCCTTTTTGAAAATCATACTTTAACAATAGGGAGCAATGAACTTTTTCCTTATTCATCAAAAGAGCTCAGAGGCTGTTAGTTAGGCAATATGTCCAAGTCACTAATAAGGTGTTTGTTGTTGTTTTAAATTTTGGAAAGCCATGAAATTGATGCTATAAAAATCTTGCAAATTTCGAATTGTTATCATTTCTCCCCATTAATACGAACTAGCGAGGTTCTATTGCCTCAATATATCTAATGATCATCTGCATGTTACTCTATACGTAGCAGTGCCTGTGATGTGCTCTTTTGTTGTGGTGTCTAGAATTGCATGTACATTTAAAAAAATTAGATGACAGTCATAAATGCATTCCTCAAGATAACCAAGATCATGGGGAAAAACAGATTGTAGTCAGAATAACAGAGATTGCATTTATCATAGAAGAAAGGGAGTTTTTAAAATGTAGCATTATTACCGGGATGCAAGCATAAAACACCAGGCATGCAGATTCTCCCAGTTCATTCTTGAAATGCAAGCTAACATCATGCCAGCTGCTAAATGAAAACCAAGTCTTACTTAGCTGATTCTGATGCTTCTCTCAGTTCTTCATCCAGTCTGCATGAGCAAAAATTATCATGGTAGAAAAGAAAACATAAAAGAAGCAAGCAGAGCATGAGAGAGTCACTCAGCAAAGCAGAGCCAAATGTAAGTGGTGCAAATACGCTTTTAAAAGCTGTCCTCTGGAACACTGAGACACACTCCTCCAATTAAATATGGTGTCATTTCCTCCCATTCAGTGTTTATGTGCGTTTATTTTGCAAATTCCTTCATGAGAGGCAGATATAAAAGTTGCAAGGGGATCAGAAACATGCCGGCTGAAGAAAGCTGAAAACATCCGCGTCAGTCTGTTGGGGACAGTTAAAGTCAGCTTGCAGCCTGGGCCAAGTCAGGGCTGTGTCTGGTTTAGTAGGTTTCAGTTGCAAATTGGGTTGACCTCAACAGCTTTACACAAAGGACAAAGACCAGGAATGGTATACACAGGACGGATACAATGACCTCTTGCTCTGGTAGCATGTTGAGGTCACCCGCGAGTAAAACAATGGTGTACACACACAGAGGGTCCAGCGTGAACTGTAGGTCAGGAGATTTTACCTCACACTTCTCTTATAAGATCTCTCTTCATCGTACCTTACAGGATAAAAAACGAATGCCATGAGGAAAATGAGCAAACAGATGGAAAAAACGACAGGTAAATGTTTTAAATGAGAGAAAAAAACCTACACAAAGACAGTCACGTGCCACATAACAACAGACTGCATATACGATGATGGTCCCATAAGATTATAATACCATATTTTTACTGTACCTTTTCAATGTTTAGATATGTTTAGATATACAAATACTTACCATTGTTACAACTGCCTACAGTATTCAGTACACTAACATGCTGTCCAGGTTTGTAGCCTACAAGCAGTAGCTATACCACGTAGCCTAGGCATGTCGTAGGCTACACCATCCAGGTTTGTGTAAATAGACTTTGTGATGTTCACACAACCAAGAAATCACCTAAAGATGAATTTCTCAGAAAGCATCCCCCATCATTAAACAATACATGATGGTAATAATCAAACTGGCTTTTGGAAGAAAGTGTATTTTCATTAGATACAATCAATGATTTATAATTTATTAATATATGCAGTCCATCCTCATTATTTGCAGATCCCGTATTTGTAAATTTGCCTGTTCACTTGTAGTTGTAACCCCAAAATCAATACCAGGCTCTTTTTGGTCACTTGTGGATGTGTGCAGGGTGGGGAAAAATTTGAGTTGTACAATGTGCACGTTGCTACCTGAGGTCAAACAAGGTGAGGCCCAGTCTTCTTGGTTCATGCTATAAACAAGTGTCCTTTTCATAGTCTATCTGGTGCCATATTTTTCTTATTTTTATGTTTTTGTTGGTAATTTTGTGTTTAAATTGGCCCTTAAGCATAGTGCTGAAATGCTGTCTAGTGTTCCTAAGTGCAAGAAGGCTGTGATGTGCCTTATGGAGAAAATACGGGTGTTAGATAAGCTTTGTTTAGGCATGAGCTATAGTGCTGTTGGCCATGAGTTCAATGTTGACAAATCAACAACATATCCTAAATAAGATGTCTTTAAACAGAAACACAGATAAAGCAATGTGATATATTGATCAGTTGATGAAAATATTGTGACCAGAGGCTTGCAGGAACCTAACCCTGTATTTTCCCTTGGAACAATAGCTCAGTATTCACTAATTAAGTGTTTGCAGTGACTTTATAGACCATAACTGCCACAAATAATGAGGATCAACTACAATGAATGATTATAAATCTGATTCCAGGATGGGCCAGTTTTTCTTTCATTTAAAGCCTTTCATAACAGGTTCCATCTCAGCTGAGTACTGGTTTTGGGATTGGCCGACATCAGACCCTTTGAATGTTATTCAGTAATAAAATGAAGCTATGGCTTAATTTGAAATTTGCATAATGTGAAATTAAGGCAATGAGGACCAATAATATAAATGGCAGAAAGGACATCCTAAGAAGATGAATTACAGAAAATGGAAGAAAACATGGACATGCGAGGAGGACATGAACAATGCTCAATTTCTTCCTCCAGAAGAAAATCTTTCCAGATGGAACCCTTCCTCCTGAAGTAACTTTTCCCAAATGGAGCCCTTGAAAACTGATGTGTGTAGAGGAGTGGAAAATGCCCTGGGTATATTTAATTTCTCAGTTGAACTTTCCCATTTGATAGTGAGTCTCTCAAAGCAATGTGATTATAATAAATAACATTCCAGATTGCCAGCTCTGTGTTGGGAGGCTTTGTGAATGCTTTATGTACAATGTTCTCATTCAATCCCCAGGACTGTTCAATGACATGCAAATTATGTCCCCATTTTACAGATGCTGAAGCTGAGACTCAGAGAATTTTAATAGGTTGCCTGAAGTCTAAGAGACAGTGAAAGGTAGGAGGGAAGGGTCAAATCTAAGTCTCCAAAGCCCATTCTGTTTTCACCTATTGTCTCTGTCCTACCATGGAAGTGTTATCATATTTACCTAGAAATTGGCCAATGCTTGATTCCACCGAAAAAGAGAATGTCCTTGTCATCTTTTGCAAAGGGAGACAGCATTAAAGGAGGTGAGTGTGCCAGTACTTTTTTTATTTAAAGAATAGGAGTGGATTTTATTTAAAGAGTAGGAGTGCCTCTAAAGGCACAGCTTTTAGAGGCAGCAAGCCAGAACTATGATGAGCACTGGTTGTGGGAACTCTATGAAGCTAATGAGGACTGAAGCCATCATTAGGATCTTATGAACATTCTGATTGATTCAGCGGGGCCAACTGACCACTGTAAGCCCAATCAGTCTCCTGTGTTCATGCCTGATACTGGTATGTAGGAAAACCAAATGCATCCACTTCTGAGCTCTGAATGTAGAAGGACACTTAAAGGGAGGTAGAAGAAACTACTAGAAAGGGGCATGAGAATTTCGGTGCCAGGCTGACCTGAATTTGAATTCTAGTTCCATCTCTTCCTGGTTCCCACTTATACTTTGCACAATTAACTTCTTACTAAGTTATCTTCCCTGCATCTGTAAAATGGGGATTTACTATGGGAGTTACATGATATAAATAGAGCACCTTTATACCCAGCATTTCATAGACACACATTAAATGAGAATCCTTTCTTTCTAGTTTCTGTGCCTTTGTGTGTGTGGTGGCAGGCGGGGCGGGGGGGACTGACTCTTTTGGAAGCCCAAGTTGAGAGGTCCATTTTGCTACCCATCTGATGGAGGATGGGTAGCATCCTTGTCTGTTTTCTTTGAGCTGATGATTAAGTCCCTCTCAATTCTAATCAAATCCAAAACTAGTGAATCAGACACAGTGAAAGTAAAAACATGACACATAGAAAACAATGATTCTTTGCAACAATGGACCGTTGAACTGAGTGTTCAGTCTCCAGGATCCCTGTTTTAAAATCCCAGTTCCAAGTACTTGTTTAGTTAACCTTTACTCTTATTTTTGCAGCACAATCCTGAGACTTTCAGAACCCATGCAAGGATGCTGCTGCTGCGTTACCCTGTACTGAGCAGGGAAAACCTTTCCTAACCGCCCCACCCAGCACTGGACAAATACCCTCTACCTAGTCTTGCATCTGAAGGGACTCGTGGGGCGAAAAAAAAGGATTTAGAAGAAACAGAAAATTATTTCTTTCTGTTTTCCTAGGGTAATGCAGATAAATTACTTTATATAAGATAATAAAGAAATCCAAGCTATGCTAAGACCCTATTGTGTCTGTGCAGAGAGAGAAGGACACAAGTAACCGATATACTGATTGATGTTAAATTTATGCATTTTCCAAAGTGGTAACAAGATTCAAGGTAGAAATCAGCAATCATCAATAATCCCAGAAGAAGATTATATGAAAGAGGATCTTAAAGAATAGAATAGTTATCTACAGGTTATAGAAAAAAAAACTATTCATTGAAGAAAATTTAATATTGCTTTAAAAATAAGATAAGCCATTTCTCCACTGTTCCAGAACTGAGTTGTTTTTCACCCCCACCCCCTCCAAACATGTACTATTTCTTAATGAATCTTTGAAATCATGAGGACTCACTTGATGATGCTCTCTGGAATGTGGATGCAATCCATTGGGATCAGCCCACTGAGTTCTGATAAGCTACTGACATATTTAATTTTACTGCTGAATTTTGAACTAAAAAAAAGAAAAAAATGTATCATTAGTCACTACTTCATCTCCTCTAAGGCCATTGCCCCTACTTCAAAATCCTGATACACTTAACATCTTGTCCCAGCACTCTTGCTAAGAAGAAAGGCTAACATTATTCAAGTAGTGACTACATACCAGACATTGTTTTGCTGTTGTTGTTTTGTTTTTTTTAAATTTTTTAAATTAACAAATAAAAATTGTATATATTTATTGTGTACAACATGATGTTTTCAAATATGCATATATTGTAGAATGGCTAAATTTAGCTAATTAATATATGCATTACCTCACATACTTATCTTTTTTATGGTAAGAATACTTACAATATACTCTCTTATCTAAATCTACTATCTTTTCAAGGATACAATACATTGTTATTAACTACAGTCACCATGTTGTACAATAGCTCTAGACCTTATTCCTCCTGTTTAACTGAAATTTTGTGTTCTTTGATCAACATCTCCTCAACCCTACCCACAAACTCCAGACCCTGGTAAACACCATTCTACTCTTTACTTCTGTGAGTTCAACTTTTTTAGATTGCACATGTAAGTGAGCTCATGCACTATTTGGCCACACTGTTTTAAGTGGTTTATATATATTAACTCATGTATTTCTTATTACAGCCTACTGGGGTAGGTTCCATTATTATCCTCTTTTAAAGACAAGGTAAAGGAAACTGAGATACAGGGAGTTAAGTGTTCACCCAAGGTCTCGCCATGAGTAAGTGGCGGAGCTCGTATAATACTAACCTGGGGAGTCTGACTTCAGAGTACACACTCTTGACCATACTTCACACAGCCTCCCAGAGGTTCCTGCCACTCTGAATAGTCACTGGTTTATGGTTTGTTTGGCCTGATTTGCTTGTTTGTTTGTTTATAACAAACAAAAATCTTATCATTAATTCTTTCAGAATCTACCAAGGTTGATGATATTTTAAAAAATATGTGAACTAATTTTTCTCTTATTTTATTAGTTTCAGTTTTATTTAAAAATGTTTTTCACGTTTTTTTTTTGAAGTTTTGGTTTGAAAGTTCATTCCATATGGACCAACATTCAAAAATATGTTCCAATAATTGGATTTGAATCACAAACAGCTTTCATGCAAATGTGATCATTTCAGACGTGTGTGAATGCATAGAAAACAACTTGGAAGGAGACCAGTGAAACTGATAAAAGAATTTGTCTCTGGGGAAGGGGGTTAGAAACAGGAATTGGTAATTGCTAAAGGAAGAACTTGGTCTTATCTGTAATGATGGGATGCATTTCTGAAGAACGTATTTCCTTATTATTTGTGTAATTGCAAACTTACTTTTAAAATGTATCATTCTGCTTGAAAGGGAACTTGATCTAGGATCTAACGTTCTTAAATGATGTGAAATAAAAAGATCTCTCTACTGAGATTGTGCTGAGCTGTCTGCCAATTGTACTGCCTTGTGTTCAACTACTGTGCATTCTAGTAAGAAGCTTTTCTGTGTGTGTGTGTGTTTTTTAATATACATCTATCTTTAATACTTTACTTGCTATTTTGACCCTGGGTCCACAGGCTGTGTCTTGTGAACAAACTTTCTCTCCATATACTTACTCTCTTCTAGTCCTCCTGACACATCTTGGGTCAACATACATTACCAATGATTACACTACTACATTAAACCTCTTCCTTCCTCTGGAGTTTTGGAGCTAAATCCAGGTTTTGATGAAAGACTGAGTGGGTGAGTGAGAGGGAGGAAGAAATCATGCAAAGGGAAAACCTCCAGCTCCAGTGTATCTTCAGTAGAATTTACGTTCTCTGAACATGCCGTGTTCTCTGCTTACTGATGCATTTGTATCTGCTATGTCCTCTCCCTGTTTCCTCTACGTGGATTGCTCTTCTCTCTAATTACAGCTAGTCCATCCTATTATTAATAGCTCTTCAAAACTCACTTTGAAGGTAAGTCTCCTTCTAGGAAGCCTCTCTTGATGCAGACTCAGCCTTCTTTCTCCACATGGTACCCCAAAACTCACCTTCACCTGGATTTAGTTCTCACCCCCTCAAAGTGCTTCAGTTGTACCCTGTATTGAAATTATTTACTTGTCTGTGTCTGCTCTGGGCTTTAAGCTCCTAGAAGACGCAATTGAACCATGTGATTTTTCAATCTCTAGCACTTTGCTTGACGCAGACAAGCAACTCATTTTTAAAAATGAATTTGCCATGTACCTCTATCACAGATGTTACCCTTTAGTGGCAAAAGACCTATAATACATTTTAGTGGCCTCCTTTTTCAGGTGTGAAAGTTGGTCATACTGATACAAGTAGACTCGAAAGGAGGATCTTTAAAGAGGCTCTTACATGATGAAACTGTAGAATACAGTGCTTAAGTCTTGACATGGGTGTTTTTTAGAATTCAAAGTCCGAGCCTATCATTTATTGTCTATGTTACACTTGATCTGGGGCTGGTAAGCTACGATGGGCCAAAGCCAGCTTGCTGTGTCTTTTTTACAGTCCTTGAGTTATGAATGGTTTCTATGCTTTCCAAATGGTTGAAAAAATACCAAAACAAGAATACTCTGTGATGTGAAAATTAAAGGAAATTCAGTTTCAGTGTTCATAACTAAAGTTTTACTGGAACACAGCCACGTACTTGTTTCCATATTCTCTATGGTGGCTTCCGCTCTGTAATAGCACAGCTAAGTAGTTGTGACTGAGACCTATGAGGCCTAAAATATTTACTATTTGATTCTTCACAACGTTTACTGGCTCCTGCTTTAGACACTTTATTTGACCTCCCTGAGCATCAATGTTTTTTCCTATATAACAGAAATAGTAAACAGTATCTGCTTCAGAAGAGGTCATTAGGTTAAATTAGATAATGCTTATAAGCACTCAATAAATGTAAGCCAGTATTAGATGTAATTTACCACATCATTGCTCTAATTTTTTTTATTATTGCTATCGTTATTATCTTGAAACTCACTTCAATAAATAGTGTTGAATTATAATCATTTTTAAATATTCTAACAGTAACAAATATTTTCTTATTGTTAAATTAAACCAAATTTGGCCTGAGGCTCCCTCTGTACTTTGAGTTCCTAGGTAGCAAACTGCAACCTAACTTAATATGTAAACAAACTACAACCTAACTCAAGAGGATATTTTTACAACAAAAAGCTGAGTCTCAGTCAATGATGACAGCTGAGCTTCAGCTAATTAGAGGCTGCCAACCAGACTATTACCATATAAGGCAAATGCCTCATCACATCATGCCCCAATAAGACAAACGACCAGCTATACCCAATCAAGCTATTTCTGTAGGTCACTTCCTTTTTCTGTTTATAAATACTGCCTGCCCACATTGCTGAGTGACACCTTCTGAACCTCTCCTGGTGCTGAATGATGCTTGATTCATGAATGGTTCTTTGCTCACATAAACTCTGCCAAATTGAACTTGTCTAAAGTTTATTTTTTAACATTATCAAGAAAAAACATATTTCTTTTTATAATTGTAAGAGCTGAATTATTAAACAAACATTGATGAATCAATAATAGTGCTAATGTTTACTTTTTACCCATTAAACTTTTTATAAGCTTATCAGTGTACATTGATTTATACCCCCTTGTAAAAGTATTTCCTAAAATTATTAAAAGAAATGACTTTTAGTATACCTTAAACAGGTCATAATATTTTTTAAAAGCAATTCAACATACTACGATAAACTACTAGAAGTTTATGGTAGCTAAACTTTGCTAGAAGAAAACTAGGGTGAGTCCTGCTACTTGGTCATTGGAAGTAGGGAGTAAGAATGCTAAATAAATATAAGTGAACACTGAATAAAAAGGGTAGACTCTGCAAGATACGGTAAAATCTATGTTTAAAAAAAGGATCTTAACATTTAATTTTTTTCTCCGAACATGATCAGAACTTTTAAAAGAAATTCATTAGTAACTTTGAGACAGAAAAATTTCAATTTTATCTAATCTGTATCCTGATAGTAGGCAAGACCTTATTATATTTTTAAAGCTCTCTAGAAAATAAATATTATTCCTTTCATTTGACTGTTTTAAGTTCTACTATATTATGAGCCATATCTCACTTTACTTTGCATCCTCAAAATGTATTGTTATACAGAAACTAACATATTAATAAAATAAATGCATAAACATTCACCAAATTGAACTAAATTGAAACCAAGAATCCTCATGGGTGATCAAAACACAGCTCTCAAAATGGCTGCCCAGACCCCTTCCCTAACTTTGGTGACCTACACAATATTTGTTCAGAAGAAATGGAACAACTAAGACAAGATATGGCTCCTGTTTCTGTCCTTCGTTAGTCTTTATTTTCCATTGTCACGTTATTCTACTTTTCTGTTCTCTACAAAATAATGTATCACTTTAAAAGCCTTAACTTTTCCTCTTTTTAATGTGAAAAATCCCACCACTTCATCTTCCATGTTTACAGCAAGCAATTTGGAACTCATGTTTTATAGTGATCCAGGGGAAATATTCATTATGAAATGATTCTCACTCTTAATTAGGGACTCTTGATGGATAGTCCAAAGAATCTTTCCAGGAAAGGCAAGGGCAAAATATATTTTCCTAGATACTCACAGTTTATGAGTTCTTGTTTTTAGTACAATGAATACACATTTTTTAAGACTACTTAGTAGTACTTTTACTTCTATGACAATAATAACTATACCTTATAAAGGGTCGTGTCACTGCAAGGATTGTTCTGATGAACCAGGATGGATGAACAATGATGAATGACTTCAAATTCTTCCGTAACCTATTTTGGAAAAAGAAAAAATACATTACTCTTAACCCATTCCCAGTAGAAATTAAAGCAAAATATATGCCTAAATAAGAATATAATTTTAGAGAGTTCTAGGCATTCTATACCTGGTGAGAAGGTATAGAATGGCCATGATTAATAAAAAGAATGCTTTTTGGGACATAATTTGAAACTTGTATGATTCTAATCTTATTTTCTCATAGGAATAAATGTGAAATATAATACAATGGTTACATTCTTAGAGTACATGAATCTATAACCATCGTGGCATATTTTGTTTAAAGATACTTTTCATTTTTGTCAGCATTACTTTTACTATTTTGAAAAGAATACACTCTTAGTAGCAACTTAGACAATTTCTTGCATCTTACTGAGCCTTGGTTTCACCTTCTTTATGATGAAAATAATAACAGTACATCATGTGGTTGTTTGGCCTTCAATTTACCGTTTGAACAATTCTTGGTTTCCAGGCCCAGTTTGTGGCATTAGCAATATTATTACTTTAAGAGGTCTGGGTCATAAAACAGATTTGAGTTAACATAACAGGGCACTTGCATGCTATTATGGAAGGAGCTACATCTAAACAGATGCCACACATACTATAGATATAAATTTGTATGTTTATTATGACAATTTTTCTGTAGGTGGCAATGAAGTGTTTTGTTCTGACAGACTTGAGGAAAGGGCACACAAAAGCACTGTATGAGTTAGTGGTTAACTTGAATTGACAGTGAATGTTGAAATAAAGGCACAATGACTGTACAAATCACAACAGTCCCAGTGCACATAAACAGTAGCAAGGTCACACGATACCACTAAAGAATCATGGGTGATTTGGTTTATCAGTTCGAGTTGTATCTCCATGTAGCAACAGCATATGCATAGTTCAAAATAGACTTGGTCTGCCAGGATTGAGATTACATTTAACAAAATCTGGGGATGATTTGCTTTATTTAAATTTTGGGGTATCATGTGTGACACTTTTATTACTATTTCTATAATTTTTTGTTTCAAATGTCCATAACTAGAGGATCCTAAAATGTGATTGCATTTTTGGCAGACTAAAAGGGAATTAGATATGGGAGGTATTGAGGAAGTCAAAATAGTGACAAAATAATGGAGCTCACATACCGTCTATCAATCATCTGGTAGCATTTCTTCATCCAGCCTAGCCCAGGCATCTTGCGTCTTGGGGTTGCGCCATTCAAGTACACAATCATATAGTCTTCAGCCACCATCAACTCTAAAGTACTTATTACATATCTGATCACAGGAAGGAAAAGGAGTGTTTTCAGTTACCACATGAAATACTTCTCCTTATATACACCATAATTATATAACATTTAAATTATAGGGTATATGACATTTAAGAATGGTTGTACATATTACCATTTTACCTGGAGAAAAATACAGTTACCTAAGATCATTTCTCTGAGAGTGAGTATTACTCATTTATTTGTATAGTTATCTTTTTTTTTTTTAATGCTGGTATGCTAGAAAAATGTGTGCATTAGAAACCTGACTTTCAAAAATGTTAACAATGTTATCAGATACTAAGGGCAACTCAGATTAAATAAGGCAGATGTAAATGAAGTCAAGATATAGTCAGTCTTAGCTGACTAAGAACATGTTAACAAGGAAGAAAAATAATACTTCGCCTACAGGAAATGTTACAGAATTTTAAAATGTGAGCCAAACGCTGTTGATTTTGTTTTCAATCTATTCTACTGACAAAAGAGCTCCTTTAAATGTGTTAGCCTCTTGAGCAATATTCCTTGACAGAAACCTTATTGACTTTTTAATCAAAGGCTTAGAATATTCCACATCATCTATTTCCTTTCATTGAAGGTGCTCTATCCGCCATTACATGCCCATAGACATTAACTCAAAGTACTTTGTTATAAGTATCACTCACAGGAAAAGATTTTCCATGACATAGTGGTAATCCGCCCGACTGCTGTCTGGCAGAAAACAGGCGGCAAACACAATGATGGCATTTAGACCGTCCCCATAGTATCCTGGGGGACAAACAAAAAGACATTTGTAACAGATTGAAACCTCTTAACAAGGAAATATCTAGCCTAAAAGGATAAATCTGAAGCCTTGGCAAGTGTGTATATGTGGATATAACAGATATACCATGACATGAATATTATACTGACTACAGCTCTCTAAGTATACACACATGTAATTATCTTTCAGTGGTTAACATCTGTCTTATACAGAGTCTTAAATAGATGGTGTAAATATATTTTCATGTATAGGGTATACATATGTTATGGATGATTATATGTGTTGTACATAGCTGTGGAGGGAGTGTATAAATATCCAACTTACCAAAGGATGAGAGGGCAACACTTGACTTATGACTTTCTAATCTACATAATACTAATTTATCTAGTACTTCTTTTTTCTGATGGCCAAGAAGGAGGCTCTGTTTGATCCTCCTTAGCTCTTTTTAGTTTTAGACACTAGTTAATTTAAAGGGAGAATTTAGTCATTGAACTATAAGATAATCTCAGACCCACACCCTCCAGGGACCAGATACTAGTGAGTGGATGAGTAAAACACCTTTATTTTGATTTTGAGGTCTGTAGTGCCCCTGGCATCTCTGGACTCAACAGGCAGTGCAGGGATACATGGAAAGTTCTAGTTAGCCCCGGAATAACTGAGCACAGAATCCAGAACCTTCCCTCTTAAAGAAACGAGAAAACTCAAGAAGGGTCTGGCTAAATTATCTTTGAGTTTTATGAAAATATGTACTTTTGGGAAAACTTGAGAATTGCTTCCTAGAAACATGGGGTTGGGGGGTGGAAGTGCTATTTGCGAGTGGTGCTGAGAAAATCAGAGGTGGGAAACGCAGGCGAGTGGAGCCATTGAAACTCTAGGGGTCAAGGAAAATGTAGATACAGATCAGGACATTATTCCAATCTCTTAAAGCTCTGACATAATTTTGGCATTCCCCCATGTTTTAAGCAAGCTCCACATTCCCTTGGAGCTCATCTTTGAAACTCACAGCACATCTTGATCAAATCCCAATAGGTAGGTGTATGGAATGTCCTGTGTCTTTCACACTTAAAAAGGGAAGCAATGGCTATATTTTCATTTTTTAAAATATTTCTGTTTAAACACTTGCAATTTGTGTCATATAGTTCTAGACTTTAGAACCATCAAATTTCCTCAAAGCTTTGAGTAGGAGAAGACATACCTTTAAGCCTGATCCAGTCCTCCCAGAACTCAGTGTTCATTTTTTCAGAACTCTAAATACCCCCATGGTGATTACACGACAGTAAAATACTGGCTGAATACAGATTTGGATGGGGTTAACTCTTGAAAAGCAGTTTAATAAGATGTTCTCTACAAAGATCAAGAATATTGCTCTACCACAAAAGAGGTGGGGGAAGAGAGCGATACCAGTTAAAAATATACCCAATTATGGGTTTGTATGTGTTACTAATTTGAGGCTGTTGTACACAGCATTTATACTACATATCTTAGAAGATGCTGCCTACATAACTAACATCTATGTATAGACCTATGGATGCATCTGATAAAACTTGTTTGTGAAAGAGCATTGTAGTAAAATTCCCTCTGGATTTTTTGCTTTAGTTCTATCTTTTCCAATATGTAAGTACTTGTCAACTTCTTTTTAGAATGCAATATGAAGGAAAATGGCAGAAGGAGATATATTTTAATACAAGAAGTGCTTGTTCCACAAAACAATTTTATTTTGGAAGATTCATAACTAAATGGAAATCCATAAAGTATATGGTGGCTTAGCTATACTAATCCTCATGCCAGGAAAGTATGAAATTCATTCTCAGCACAATGAAAAGATGGAATTCATTAAAAGAGACAATAGACATAATGAATCCAACTTAAAAACAAGTAAGAAAGCATTCTTTCAAAAGCATCTTTCTGGCCGGGCACAGTGGCTCATGGCCTGTAATCCTAACACTCTGGGAGGCTGAGGCGGGGGGATTGCTCGAGGTCAGGAGTTCGAGACCAGCCTGAGCAAGAGCGAGACCCCGTCTCTACTAAAAATAGAAAGAAATTAGCCAGGCATGGTGGTGTGCACCTGTAGTCACAGCTACTTGGGAGGCTGAGCCAGGAGGAACACTTGAGCTCAGAAGATGGTGGTACAGTGAACTGTTATTGAGCCACTGCACTCCAGCCTGAGTGAACCCCTGTCACAAACAAACTAACCACAAACAAAAACCAAAAGCAACCTTCTAAATGTAGCTGTCTGGCTCCCAGGTGTCCATATAATTTCAAGATCGTGACTACTCCGTTACTTTGATTCTTTTTTATTTCTGGAGAATTTCTAAGGATTTTTTTTTTTTAAGTGGAAAGACCGAGGTTTATAAACAGCACTTCAGAAGTCATCTTAAGTGGCAATTCAGCTCATTGCTTAAATGCTGTCTGTCCTTGGAACGTCATAGTGTTGTGTTCACTCGAGTTCATTTAACCAAATGAATACTTAGAGATCGACTTACTACTTCGTGATCACTAAGTAAGGAATGTCTCTTTATATAAAAATTACTGAAATTTACAGATGAAAATGGCTCTTTGTACTTTTGGGTAAACAAGCTATAGAAAGGGAAGACACAAAAGGGAAAAAAAAGTAGGTGGAGAGGAGATGATCTAAGAAAGGAAATAGAAGAAAAATGTTTTCACATGACAGCTTTCCTCTTAAATCAAGAGCTGGTGGCATTGTCGCCAGGCTTCAGAGCTATTTCAGATAACTCCGTAATTGCTGGCACAGAGCAATAACTAGAATGAGCAAGGCCATTTGCTTTTGCCCCTCCCAGATACCTTCAAGGGGATCAATTAGCCCTTCAATTTCTATTCTAAAATACGCAGCTGACTCAAAAGAAGTTGCCTGATGGCAGCGGCATAATTCGTTTGATGTTTGGTTTTGAAAACATTTCTTTTGTTAGACTCTCTTCTCAATAGATGTGTGGTGCATTCAGGGAGTCTGTGCTGGGGTGCATGAGGGACCCCCTCCGTGGAGCCTCCAGAGACCCTCCGAAGCAATGATGGCAAACCTTACCTGCAGTGGCACAGACAGGCATGAAAGGGATGTAACACAAGTTTGCTGGCCAGCAATGGAATGGAGAGAGAGGAAAGATGTCACAGTCGCAACCAAAACATACACACACACACACCAGCCAGCAACTCTTCTCCTCATTCTTTCCGGGATCATTTGTCCGGCAACACTGCAGAGAAGGTTACCTGAATCTCCTATAATGAAATAAGAGAAGTAAAAAAAAAAACAAAACAAGAAAGGAAACTCCTTGTTAAAATTCTTTGGCATAATTGTCCTTGGTTATTTAAATATGTTCTGTGCTTCCAGTTAAAAAAAAAAAAAAAGCCAGTTCTGGCCTCAAAGTGACCCTACACTGTTGGCTGAGCAAAAGTACCCATACACTTCTTTAATTGTTTTATTTGTGCAGAGGGCAGGAATGCTGCTGATGGGCACACAGGATGTGAACGCTGGCATTGAGATCACCCTCATTTGACTGATGAGGCGATCGAGGCCCAGGAAGGTGAGTGATGTACCAAGATCACAGACTAGTTAGTGGCAAAAATGGGCCTTGACCGCCCTTCTTTTCCACTGGGTACAGGGCCTATGGCAATAGCTCATATCCAGGTCACCGAAGCTGAGGACTGAATTATTTGTTCAAGTACTGCTCTCATGCACCAGTGTTCGTAACTGGCGGGCCACTTGTCACGGCCTGGCTTTGGGGCTAACCTCTACAACGCTCTGATCATGCCCACTTGCAGATTACTGCACGGAGCATTATCTAGCTGGCATTTCCCTACTGACCTGAGTGGGAAAACTTCCTCACAGCAAAATGCAAAGTACCAAAGCAAGAGTCACGTTCACTGCAGAGTGACTGCTACTTTTTAAATGCTTGTCAGAAGCCAGGATGATGGACTTAATAGGTGGGTAACTAAGGAGCTTTATGAGCATTAAGGTCTAAGAGAGTGGTGTAACCTTCCGACATGGAAGACAAAGCTTTGGAAAATCCAGGAGTTACATCTGAACTGTCTACCTGCAGAGCACAAAAGCTGTTCAGGGTGCAGGAAAAGGTGGCATCTCGCTCAAGTTCCGGAAGGGTGCAGCCAGATGCTCATTCATGCAGGCCAGTGCCTGGAGAAGGCTGAGGCAGCACTGGGGAAAGGAGAGGTGGCTTTCTCCTCAAAACAAACCAGACAGTCACACAGACAAAACTGAGCTCAAGACACAGAGTGGAGAGGAGCAAATGCCAAGGGGGGAGGTGGCAGGGAGAGAAAGCACAGCAAACTAGGCTAGCCCTGAGGTCCCTGGGGGATTTTTATAGACTGTGACAGGCAGAAGCAGTGACCTTCTCTGACCATCAGTGGGCTGGTGTTATTCACTCTCCTGATTCGGGCAACAGGCCGATGGGCTGAACTCACCCACCCAACCCACCTAATTTCACTGTGGTTGAAAGAAGTAGGTGAGTCTACTAGAGCACTAAGAGATAATTTGGCCTTATGATAGCAGCACAAACCATGAGCCCGCCTTCTTCTCAACACGGGGACCCTAAATTTAAGAGCTGATGGGTAAAAATGTTTATAAGGATTGTCTCTGGGTGACTTTGATTTACTTTGACAGACTTTTCTATTTTTTTTGGTATTTTTTTTAAATGAGCACAGGCTACTCTTATAGCCAGCCTTTGTTTTTATTTCCAAAAAGCAAACAAATCAAAAATACCTGATGGTTTTCAGGACTGAGAGCTTTAGGGGGAAAAAAAATACCTGATAGATGGTGCAAACAAGGTGTGGCCTTCCAGAGAGATTTGGAGAGTGTTCCGGTTGTGGTTTTCACGGAAGAACAAAAGGGTTGGCTCCATGGCCAGCTGTCTGCCACTGTCAGCAAGAGTAGGCGAGCCCGCATTCTAGAGGTTTCCCTTAGAGGAAAGTGCCCCTGGCCCCACACCAGCTCTCACTGGGCCATGTTACCATTTCAGGTCAAACCAGGAGGCAAGAAAAAGAAAGGTCACATCCAGGGACATCGACTGGCATTCATGTTCACTGCCATGGTCAGGTTCCCTGGTTGGTCCTGACACTCACGTGGAGGTAGCGGTGCAGGGGATGGAAGGTGAAAAATCTGCGGGTCGAGGGTGTTGGATTGAAATAACAAATGTCCTTCTGCTCTTTAGAAAACAAAAGCTAAGGGTTTGATGCAGCGCCAGGACTCTCATTTCCCTGTCCTCATAAGGAAGAGAGAATTTAGAGAGTAACAATTGCCTTGTCAGCTTGCACTTTTTCTGGAACAGCTGGGTGGTTAAGCAGTGCCTCAGGACTTCGGGAAAGGAAGGCATGCGGCAGAAAAGCCGAAAAGCTGTTGCTGTGTTCTGAAGTCGACAGTCTTACATGTGTTGCTTGTGCTCGTCTGACTTCCTGTGAATCCCAAATTAACCAAGGCCACGTGTGCGCCCGGAGCCCCCAGGAAGGCACCGGAAAAACAAAACACACCTTTCTCTCTCCCTTGTCCCTCACTAAGCAGGTGGAGGCTTTGACTGGGATTGGCTGTTGTCAGGCCTAAAATTAATATAGTTTATAGAAAAGCAAACCTTAGGTAGGCAAAAGATTTACCATGCTGAGCCTTAAAAGATTTCCTAAAGCTTCTGAAGAGGATTCAAAAGACCATTTTTTAATTAGAAGCACCTCTGGAATAGCACAATTACTACAGGCCCTGGTGTTACACACTCTAAACTGCTCAGTTCAACCCTACGATTGGCCGATAGGAATTCCGAACAGATATCGTTAAATTGGATTATTATGGCTTTCAAGAAATTTGCACAGAGCATTATAGCTATCAGACATGTGGTGTGAAAAGCAATTTTCACATGGGAAAGTTGTTTTTGCCTAGTAGGCTTTCAAATGTTTATCGAATTGAGTCTGAGGAAATATACGTAGCTCTAGAGCCCCCCAAATATTGACTGCAGAGTCTTTGGGATGTCGTGCTGCCGAAAACCCGAGTTTCGTATTCTAATAAAATACACAACTGTTCTGATCCCCATTTTTCACATTTGCACAGAACTTGACTACCTCCGTGAGAAATGACCCTCCTGTAGGGCTCGATGACCTTCATGTCAATCCGCTGCTCTTGCTCTCCAATCACCACTGTCCTCCACAGCCGGTTGTCCTCTCGTTCCTCTGCGGCTGTGTATTCTGGAATAGACTCTGACTCCTGGCCAGAATCTTTGTTGGTGGTAGGATCTTCTGGAAATGAAGCACAGAGCAGGGCTGAAGGAGCAAGACTTCCACAGTGGAGGCAGCTAAACCACTAGATTGTAAACTATCTCCTGGCAGAGTCAACCTGATGGAACTCCCTGTTCTGTACAGCTCGTACAGAGCTTCCATCATCCTGACCACATCAATCACACTCAGTCTTTATTATAAAGTCTTTTGCATAGATGGACTGGACAACCAAGTCCATTGCTAAGGCCATGTTGAGGGTGGGAATTAGTGCAAGGCCAGAGCTGTCTTGCATCAGTAGTGATCCGATGGGTATAAGCTGGTACTAACTCATGCTTGGTCATGCAGGTTAAAGACTGCAGGTCTTTCTGATGGGGTGAAAGGCTATTTATCAGGCCCAGATAATCTTGGTTTCCTTGGGCCACATCTCTTGAGTGCTCAGAGTCTTTGAGGGCCCTTAGCTTGGAGTCATGATGATACTATCAGACAAGACCGCTACTCTAAGACTCTTACAACAGGGTTGAATCCCCTATTGGCAGCACATTTGAACATAAATTTGATATTACCTCTATATACTGTTTCAAAATATGCCACAGAAAGATTTTACAGGAAGTGAGAAACAAACAGTTTTGAACACCATAAATGCTCCAAGCCAAAAATCCACAAGACTTCTAAATTTGTGGATGCATAAAATAATAAAAGGACCCACTGAGCTTTCCTTGTGAAAAAATTTACTCTTAAAAAAAGTAACAATTTTTTTTCTTAAAAAAAACATAGTAGCAATTGTTTCCATTCTTACTAAAAGCAGTAGTAACAGAGTTTAACAATGGTTATGCTTTGTATGTTTAAGTAATTTTAAGGGAAAGATTATTTTTAACCACAAGAGTTGTCTGAGATATTATCATTCTTATTTTTCCAGTCATGGAAAAACACCATTGAATTTACATCACACTGCACTCTACTGGTATTCCTCCTATGGCACTTCGATAATAATAATAGCAATACTTTTTTAAGTATCTACCTTGTACCAGGCACAGTACTAGGTATTAAAACAAACATTATACCAATGCAAACACTGACTCCAAAGTAGTTTACTTCAGATCACAGTCAGTAAGCAAATATAGTCAAAACTTTTACCTTTTTCAACTCTTCTAAGCTATCACATTGCACCTTGAATGTGTGATTCTCATTCTTACTTTTTTTATTAAGAGGCTGTAAATTCCCTGGGCTAAAGAACTGTGCCTTAATCACCTTTAATATTCATTTCTACCAACCCACTCCCTAATTAGCTTGTAAACCTACTCGGAACACTCAATAAAAATTGGGCGAGTGGGTATATAAAGGAAAGCCTGGACAAGTTCCTGGAAATATAGGTAATCTGTAAGAGAGCCACGACAATGTCATTATGTTCTGGAAGATTCTGCAATTATACATTCAAAAGTGTCTAATTACCCATGACTTAGAATGGCAAAGTGAAGTTCAGTTGGGAAGCAATTCTAGCCTTTTCTGCCAACACCAACAGCCATCACTACCTACAGAGCCTTGGCTCCCTCCCGCTTCCACTGTGTTCCTAGCAGTGCTCGGCAGCTTGTTAAGGACACAAAGCAGAAACGTTTGGCTTCAGATCAAGCACTGTGTCGCTTGTGCAAATCCATCCATCTGTGTGGAATCCCTTCCTGCTTCTTCCTTTCTATGTGGATTAGGACCCTGGGATGCTAGTCTTAGTTCCCTTCCTGGGACCCTGTTTCCCCTCTGGTCTCTACTCCCTCAGAACTCTGGACTGTAAGGTGGGTTGGTCTTCTGATGCTCCTGTACACACATGGCCTTCCCCGCAATGAACTTACAGACCACTCAACCCTCTGCATCATGTTTGGTCCTCTCTGACCTGCTCTGGCTTGACCTGGTGAACTCTGTGGGGTGAGGGTGGATTGTTTTGTTTTGTTTTCCATATACTTTTATTGCAGTTGCTTCAATGTAAGTGTGTAGAATGTATACTACATTCTTTGTTCTGGTTATAAAAGGAAAACACACACCACATAAATACAGTCAACTGATCTTTGAGAAAGGAGCAAAGGCAAAACAATGGAGCAAAGGTAGTCTTTGCCATAAATGGAGCTAGAGCAACTGAACATCCACATGCAAAACAATCAATCTAGACCCAGACCTTAGACCCTTCACAAAAATTAACTAAAAATGGATCATAGATCTAAATGTAAAATGCAAAACTGTAAAATTCCTAGAAGATAACAAAAGATAAAACCTAGTTGATCTTGGGTTATGGAGGTGACTTTTTAGATAAAACACCAAAGGCATGATCCATGAAAGAAATAATTGATAAGCTGACCTTCACTAAAATTAGAAACTTCTGCTCTGTGAAAGGCAATGTCAAGAGAATGAGTAGACAAGCCATAAAATGGAAGAAAAGATTTGCAAAACACACATCTGATAAAGGACTGCTATCCAATATATACGAAGAGTGCTTAAAACTCAACAATAAGAAAACGAACAATTCAATTATAAACTGGGCAAAAGACCTGAACAGACACCTCACCAAAGAAGATAAACAGATGGCAAGTATCCATATAAAAAGATTACGACATCATATGTCACTAGTCAATTGCAAATTAAAACAATAATGAGAGACTACTACATATCTATTAGAATGGTCAAAATCCAAAACACTGACACCAAATGCTGGAGAGGATGTAAAGCAACAAGTACTTTCATTCATTGCTGGTGGGAATGCAAGTGGTCTAGCCACTTTGGAAGACAGTTTGGCAGTTTCTTACAGAATTAAACCTACTCTTACCACACAATCCAGCAATGACTCTCCTTGGTAATTACCCAAATGAGCTGAAAATGTATGTCCACACATAAACCTGCACGTGGATATTTCTAGCAGCTTTATTCATAATTGCCAAAACTTAGAAGCAACCAAGATGTCCTCAGTAGGTAAATGAAGAAATAAACTGTGGTACATCCAGACAATGGAAAATCATTCAGCGCTAAGAGGAAATAAGCTATCCAGTCATGAAAAGACATATAGGAACCTTAAATGCATAAGTGAAGGAAATCAATCTGAAAAGGCTACGTATTGCCTGAGTTCAACTACATGCCACTCTGGAAAAGGCAAAACTATGGAGACAGTAAAAGGATCAGTGGTTGCCAGGGGTTAGAGAGGGATGAACAGGCAGAGCACAGAGGATTTTTAGGGCAGTGAAACTACTCTGTACAATACTGTAATGGTGAGTGCACGTCACTATACATCTGCCCAAGCCACAGAGTGCACTACACCAAGAGCGAACTCTCACGTAAACTA